AACAGACACCGATTGCTGAAAATGCATAACGCATGCACATTTTAACTTAACCGACGTGGCAACAGAATAACTAGGGAGGCAGAATAATGAACGCGGGAGCGGTGTATTGTGGGTAGCCCTAACCAACAACACTTCCCCCACCCCACTCCTCCACACACACACATGCAGACCCACACAATTCTCATGCTCGTTCAACATCCAATCATAACACAAAAACCATTCAAGTCTCATGGTATCAACAGACAGGTAGTCAACATTATGACCGAATACGAAGATTTTATTGAGAGATTACAATAATTTAAAGAAAAACAGTCGGCCACCTATAGAAAAGTCGCAGATTTTTTGTTTTTATAGTATTTATATTTTGGTATAATTAAAAAATCGATAATGATCTACCCGCGGATGGGAATTGGAAGAGTAGGTTTTTTGTCAGTCAACGGTGCTGCATAACTTCTCGATAGATAGCTACACAAAAAAGTTGTTTTCTTTAAAAAACTTCCTTTCCCTCACGGTTTTCATTATTCCTCTTCAACTAAAATTGTCAATAACCAAGAATTATAAAAGAAAAACAAGGAACATTTGAATAGTACGTACTCCATGGTGATAATCTCGACACTGATAAAGAAAAGAAAAGTAATAAAGGAGCTCTTATCTTTCAAAAGATTTGCCAGTTTATCCTTTTAATGAATTGAAGTATTTCTCGTCAAAATTTGACTTTGAAAAAAATTGAAAACAGAGATGACCTACCTCATTCCTTGGACTTGTAGGTTGTTTAAAACTTTTGAATGAATATAGTACTGCGTCAAGGACCATATCCTGTGCTGAATCATCATCTTTCGCTTCCTGAATAATTTTCTGTTGGTCTTGAGAGATTTCCTCCATATCCCTAGTTTTCTCCTAGGAATTTTTTTCGTAGAATTGACAGAATTGAATAAGGAGATTTGTCGCCTGTTTGCTTTCACTCTTTATAGAATGAACTAATAAAGTATTGTATTGTACTCTGTCGTCTTAAGCGGTCAAAGAAACTGAAATTCACGCACAAGAGACACGAATCACAACTCGTTATGACTTTATTCTCAAACGTGGTTTTAGCGTGCGTGTTATAAATATTCATTTCTTTATCTATTTGCAAGTATTTTATCATGTTTACAAAATAGAGCTTGACCTTCACTAGACCACATATCTGCCACCAGAAATAATTAGTAGAATGTTCAAGAAGACAAGCCTACGAACTAATTTGGTCTTATTTTCTTTCATAATAAAAACACTTAGAGCTTTAGACCTATGAGTACATTTATTATGACGATACGACTTCTAATTAGGTCTTATAGAATTATATATTTTTCTAATATTTGTCACGGGAGAGTCGGAAGTCTCATGCAAGCATCAATCCCAAAATCTAAGAACGTACAAGCGAGTTGAAAAAATTTCGTGGAGTCGCATGGCAAAGCCACACACTGCCGGAGTGAGCAAAATACGGTATATATCTTTTCAAGGCCTCAAATTCAAATTCAAAACGAAGTTCAATTTAAAAATGGAGCAGAAGAACATTTTTAATAGTTCATCATCGCCAACGTCAATCTTCCGGTTGAATTTTTTATATAGAATATAAAGGCAGATATAGTCAAACTTCAATTCTAATCGTATGGTACCGCTTTGGTGTATGCATGTTCACGCTATAATTATTTGTATGTCTTAAAACTATGTTTTGGAGATCGACCTTGCTTTCTAAAGCACAAGCCGATAATATCAATTAATAACCATTACAGTGTAATAAATAATTCGTCGAGTTTAAATTTTTTTATTTGGATCAAAAAATAACTGGAATTGAAAACTGGCTTCACGTCCGAAAAACGTCCCATTTTTAAGTAGTAATGTGCCGGACTATGGCGTCCATAGTGCCATAAAATTCCAATCTCGTTAGTTGGTGGGGGRAAAAAAGAAAACTGCAGCGTTTGCATAACAATAAACTAATTTTCGTGTTGTATAGATAACCGAAAAAATTAAGTTAGTGATTGTTTTTGTCGGCTTTGCTCACAAAGATGGGAGCCTCCCCAATGACGTAAGCATGCAGGTTGAGTGGATTAAATTTTATTTCAGACTCAGTTCGATGATAGCCAAAGGCAGAAATATTCGTTTATTGTTTGTGTTTGAAGCACTCTTGAGACGGAAATTCCTATCACCAGTTATCTCATATTTTTCGAACCGAGTCTATTTATTTTCTGAAATTTATCTTCAGCCCGTTTCGCGGCCCTAGTGTATAATTTTTAAACAAGTTATAAATACTTAAACACTTCATAAATGTAAAGCTTTTCATTTCTTTCCAGACTGTTTACAAGGTGCTTACGAAAATAAGAAATAATTCTAAGACTCTGCTTTCGTTTTTCCTGCCTGTCAAGCAAAAATAGATGTAATTGGTTAATTTTACCACATTTGTGAATTTTCTCGCTTTCTGATTGGTCTAGAGCGGGGGACATAGGAAGACATAACAATAATTTACGTCAGCAAATCACGCGCGCGCGCAAAAAAAAAACAAAAAAAACACGAAGAAATAAGCAAACGAACGAACCAAAAAACAAACAAACGTACAAAACCAAAAGTACTAAAATAAATAAATAAATAAATAAACAAACAAACAAACAAACAATTAAATACATACATACACACACACACACACACACACATACGTACGTACGTACGTACATAAATAAATAAATAAATAAATAAATAAATAAATAAATATGATAAGGGAAAGACAAGAAGATTCGCAGTATACCTTGTTGTGCTGAAGAAAGTGTTGATCACATTCGATGTAGGATTGAAGTCCACCAACATCAAAACGTCCAGAAATGATTGAAGCGTATACAGGAAGCCTGTAATAAGGCCAAAAAAATAAAGATTACTCTATAGCTGTGGCAAAGTCATAACGCGCTGCATGTTTCAGCAACAGAGAATGGGCTTCCTGAAACGATAAGTTAGTAGCAAGCTTGATACCAATTGTTGGCAATTAAAATCGTGAATTAAAATAGATAGGACTTCGTTCAGTTCATCATAAAACGACGAAGCTAATGCCGGCCATATTTCTTTAGTTGATACATGAAGCCAAGTTATTAAACTATACGGCGATAGCCAATCCGACCCTGACAATCCTGGTATTAATTCTATTCTTCGAAAAATTCTTAGCCAATGTTTCAAAAAAGCGGCGTATTTTACATGTTATTTTACGAGTAACGGGAACTCTGTATTGCAAGCCAATGCGCACACAAATTCAAGTTCACAAGTTTCTCTGTGCAAAAGAAACTCATGGGGCAGCATCGGTTTTTTGTTCTTGAACAAACAAACAAACAAACAAACAAACAAAAAACACACTGTTAACGTTCTCCATAATAACATAATTAAGCGGGCTAGCGAGATACTTGAAGTTTTCTGTTTCCGTCTCTTACCATCAACTGAAATTCACGCGCGTTAAATTTTATCAGTTTTTGTGTCGCATTTGAAAAGCATTTCATAAAAATTAAAATGAACGTAAATGAGTCTCTTCTTTTACCGTGTGCAGAGGTAACGAATGAAATTGCCGGGGGCGTCTCTTTCTCGTAATGGAGAATCCTGCAGGAAAATCAGGAAGCTGGATCAATAAGAACTAAGCGATATTTTAAATACTTTTTATAAGGTTGAACCAGAGGATTTACACTGAGGGCACTCGAACCGTAAACATTTCAATTTTTTTGTCATTTTTTAAATGCATACCGTAAATTATCCCTTGACTAATGATCGTTAAGTTATAAGATTTAAGGAAAAGGAAAGGAAAAGGAATAAGRAAAACGAGAGAACCCAGAGAAAAACCCTCAAAGTAAACCTCAAATGTGGTGTAAACTGAGTGCGCTTTTTCCTCTGCCCCCAATAATCTGGTAGGACGTTGTTGTTTATGTTGGCTATATGACGTCAAACCTTTTTCTCCTCTAGAAATTTCTTGACCAATGGAAAGGCGTCACGGCTGAAGATGTAAAAACAAGGGCACTGTAGAGGGAAAAAAAGCATGGGGATTTTTTATGGGGGTTAAAGCCGATTAAAATAAGATCTTTCAGGGTATTTAAGTCTGGAGTGTCTGTGGTTGAGATACATTGTTCTAGACAGTTGTGGTCAATATCAATGTCTATATTCTAGTTCTTAAATAGCCAGGCTGGCAAAAGACATTATTTATGCAAACTGTTAAGCAAGTTTTGTCAACATAGCAAACGTGCACGCCACTTTTTCWAAACCATTTAACACTCAGTCTATATATAAAAAAGTAGAATGAGTAATGTTATGCATGTTCTCACATGAGGCTAGTCAGTCTAAAACAAGGTTTTTTAAATTGGTTGCCATACGTTATTTCCGTGTATTGAGCTGCTGGTTCAAAGGTGAACTTGGAGAACTACGTTGTAGCTATTTTGGTTTCCCTCAGACCACAGCAAAAGGAATGGTATACTTACAGCCCATCTAGATAATGTTTGATCAGGACTTGGCTTTTCCAGGAAAGACGTCACTTTATGATTTTCATCAACCTCTAATATTCCAAACTTGGTCGTTTCTATATCAAGAAACATAAAAACAAACAGACAAAGTTAGACAGACAGACAGGAAGATGGATGAATGGATGGATGGCTGGGTGGACAGATGGAGTGATGGACAGATGGACAGATGGACAGACAGACTAACCCACTACAGGTAGGAAGCTAAGACTAGGCTATACATACCATCATCTTTGCAATTGTAACACAGGGCCTGTGCTCCTATTTTAACTTGCTCTTTATTCTGCTTGAAGTCTTCTAAAACATTTTTAATTTCAAAGTCTTCCAAAAACAGTGTGTCGCTGTATAAAAAAAACAAAGCTATAGCCTCGCTGTATTAAAAAAAAACAATAAGAGTTATAGCCAATCAACCAATTACAATCAAGATAGACAGTAAAAAAATTATGCATATTTTTGAATTAAATAACTTTTAATATAATTACGAAACAAGCATTTGGGTTACCTACCCACCAATAATTATAAGATCATCACTTGTATCCTTAATTTGATGCAAACATAACTGTATGGCYCCTACTGCTCCTAGTCTGCACTTTATAACCATATATGAAATAAAAAGAACAATGGCTCTGACTGTTGTCAAAATAACGTGTAGAAAATAATTTTGGAAGGAGTGCAAGGTCAGTTCTATATGCTGCTCTGCTCATCATGGGCTAAGCCTAATACCATATTAGACTTGTATTGTATTGGTTTTCTCATTTTCTAATTTTATCATTGTATGTGTTTCAAATTCCTAATGGAACCTTTTCAAAAGTATCTTGGATGCGAGGTTAACATGGAAATACAAAAGAAATCACACTTTTTTAATAACATTAACTTACAAATTTCTCGCACACTGATAAGTTATTTTTTATCATCAATAAAGGACAGACAGATAAAGCTGACGTCAACGAGCGCACGTTTTTTCCGTTTTTTCGGCTACGTCTTGTGGATCCGCACTACTTGGACAATGTGATGACACAATTTATCGTCAATAAGAGGACAGACACATAAAAATCTGATGTCAATTTGTTAATTTTCTCAATATACATTTTGTGGCATTTCTTTTGTATTTTCATGTTAGCCTCATATTCAAGACAATTTTAAAAAGGKTCCATTAAGGTAACTCCGTCTATATCAAATTAGTCAAATCCAACTAGTGGTCTGTTATCTATGTYGCGTTCTGATTGGATGACCTACTACTACTATATAAGTTATAGACTACTAGTAGCAAAAAATGCCGGCTTTGAAAACTGAAACATTAAATTTACCTTTAATTTAAAACTTGTTTGCATTTATATCTTTGACCAACTAGTATGATTTGACTAAAACAATTAGTCCTCTCGCCCTCATGGCCTATGAGTCAATAGCTCTTTTCAGGCTTGAGGTTTAATGTAAAAACATTTGTCAAACCTCATTTGATATAGTCCCATCATTAATGACTTTTACATTGGGCCAGTCTTTGCACCACTGCTGAAATATTTCTAGATATCTAGAATTAGTCTAAATAAACAAAAACAACAAAAATTATTTGAGAAAGCTTAGTTAAGAGACCTATCCAATGTTTACTGGGGAGGAAGGGCAGTGGGGGTCATTAAAATATCAGGCTCAAAAGGTGGATGCACACCAAAAATATTTGAGAGGGTTTAAATAAAAATGCACAGCACTTTTACAATAAACAGAACTTAGCGAACGATGGACCAATTTTTATGCAACAGTATATTTGGGAGAGGGGGGTGGGGACTATGAACGATCCTCGTAGTGGCCTCACCTTCCCTTCCCTTTCCTAGAGCATTGAAAAATAAAGCATATCCATTTACAGCACGAAAAATATAAGAAACTCGTCGACTTACCACAACATAAACTTCGTSGATAGAATCTTCGTCAACTATACATTCCATCCATCTTGTAATCAAGGGTTTCCCGCCAATGGGCATCAAAGGTTTCGGGATTCCCAACAAATGGTCATATTTCCCGCTAGTGTCGACTTTGAGATCTCGTTCGAGTCTTGTTCCATAGCCAGCCGCTAGGATAAGAGCTTTCATCGTGAATAAAAACTAGACAATGACACATTATAACCCGTAAAACCATAGCTGGTGGATGTTTATGAGGTTTATGAGTCGGCCATATTGAAAATATTGAATTGTGGGAAAAATAATGTTTATCTGGGAGGAGGGGGTGGGGAGATTGATATTTTGATAAATTTTGGGAAACAATCCGCCATTATAGTAAAGATATATATACCTGATTCCATTATCTCAATTTCGAAAAATAACAARTGAAAAAACGGAGGTCGGGTCCTTGATTTACTTGTGAAGTGAATTCTGCCGGTACAAAAATTATCGTCCTACCCCTCCCATAGCATATAGTGTTGGTAACAAGATTTGTCCAGAAAGAACAGCAATGGAGGCTGTTCGTCAAACTGATCCCGACGAAGCGTCTTTAGAGGCAGGGAATAGCCAAACTCGAAATGGTAAGATTATTATGTAATAATCTAGGCTTTTATGCTTGATCTTCGTCTTTAAATAGTTGTTTTTAAAATCGGAAAGTAGGTAAGTTTATAAGTCTAATGGCTATAATCTTAGTTTAATCACCTAAAAAAGAATATATTTTATATATTTTATATAAGTTTAAGCTTATATGCAGCCCTGTCTATGTGCTTAGTTATTTAATACCATTGAATTCCAGTAAATATGATATAAATGCATCTTCTTTCATCCGTTTGTTAACCTATCTTTGTCATTTTAATATAGGAGATGAAGGATATTAACATTTTCGGGGTTTGCATATGCAGTCCAACATTATGCTTTAATCATCCAGTAAAATTAATTTGATGCTYAGGATACTATTAACTAGCATTTTCTATCATTTTTATTCCAGACGAGCCAAAAACGTGCTGTAATTGTACACCGGAAAGACTGATATGTATCAGCCATGCACTGTCAGCATGGGTAGGTTTTGATATATATACTGTATTAATACCGCATGCATTTGAACAACCTTGTATCTTGGGGTCTTGGGGGCTAGCCTTGAACTATATTCATGTTATTTTTAAAAGTGAGATGAATCAGGCTMGCTCTTACATTGAGGTAAAGGTTTGATACTGGTTGCCCCCAAAAAAATTGTTGAAAGTGTTTTCCGTATGCTATTCATTCATAGTTCAAAATGACCCTCTTAGGTCAAACTTCGAACTTCAAATGAGCCGAATCTGTCTTCTTTGATGTCTTTAGGTTCGGCTTATGTAAAGTTCGATGTTTGTCCTTAGTCTTATTGATCATCATGGTATTGAAACAGCTGGATGGGTAGGAATACATTTACATATAGACAGAACAGGTCTGGAAGGGTATTAGAGGGGGCAGGGAAAGGATAAAATATATTGTGGGATCTGGGAAACTAGAAAAAAAGATGTTACATGATTCAGATATTGCCATCGGCTATGGCTTGGGAATTGCCGAATTTAATGTCAAAGATGTGGGGTTTTGCCTTCTGATTTTCAGCTGAAGTTTCCACTGTGGATTCACATCAGAGCAATGAATGTTTCAAATGGCTTACTTATATTGAACCTCATTTACTTTCTTTGGGGTGGGAGTGTCAGATTCTCAAGCAAAACGAGGATGATGAACTTTCTTCTGCCTCATTTATTCAACTACTAAACTTCTTGCATAACAGTACATAAATACTAAAAACATTCTCAAAGGACTAACACAATCACACATATTCCCACATTCTCTCACGTCCTCATGCTTACATTACTCCATGACAGGGAGATTTCATATCTGAATCAGTTGCTTCTCCATTTTCACATAATTTGACAGCCCTGCTAAACTTAGCATCTTCACCTAACTAAATTAACTACTGAATCAATCTGATTCAGACATCGCACTTCTTGTCATACTTACTTGAGTGGGGCATTTGTCTGGAACAGGCCGATTACAGTGCAACTACTTTAACTGGGGCCACTAACACAGCTAACCACTTAAGTGTTTCTTTGTAGTTTGGTATCATTATAATAGATGAACTGCTTCAAAAACCTTAGATTATTATAAATTTAATGATCAAGCTTTTGGGCTAATTGCCTCGTCATTTTTTCGTGGCAACAAGATACAGTATGTTGAAAGGCTTTTATTTTCTGCCGTTGGCTCCACTACCCAAAGTTGGAATGCATTGTCTTCATCCTACATTTTGACAAGCTTTAGTAGTTGCACTGTAAAGGCCGATTTAGACTGTACGATTTTCTCCTACAACTATTATATACAACATAACTGCATCTCTTTTACACACACGTGACTGTTATAGGCTTGATTTACACACTACGACTCAAGTTATAGATGGTGCGAGCATGTTGTATACGATAGTTGTAGGCGAAAATCATACCATCTAAATTGACCTTAAGAGAGATGAAATATAAAATCTTTGTACTCTTTTTACAGGGAGACCGCATGTGGGAATTTGCAGTGGCATTGTACCTTGTTGAGCTCACGCCAGGATCACTGAGGCTTACAGCTATCTTCCAGCTTGTTAGAACACTGGTTACTATCTTTCTTGGTCCATTTGTAGGGAACTGGGTAGATGGAAGCCCAAGGTTGAGAGGTGAGTAAATAGCAATATAAAGATGGTCAGTAGGAGGGGTGCATGTAAATGAGTGAAGGAAACACAACCATTATTTTGATATTTCATTTTCATTTCACAGTTGCACAGGTGTCCCTAGTAGTTCAAAATCTAGCCGTAGYGACATCAGCCCTGATTCTCCTACTGATCTTGACTGTGCACTTGTCCAATGCACTGTTCGTTATTGCAGTCATTCTGGTTATTGTAGTTGCTTGCCTGTCAGTCCTTGCTGGTATCGCTACCAAGATTGCTATTGAAAAGGATTGGGTCATTGTGATAAGTGGTTCAGACAAGTCTCTCCTTGCAGGTAATCAATCAAAATTCACTATTAAAACAATCTACTGGAAGACAAAAAAACTGATGGTAAAAAAAGCCTTCAGCATGGATGTTACTTTCTGTGGTTGTGATGGTACCTGAGTGTTTTATATGGATAAGTAGTTATCCAGCACCCTGTTACATGTAAATGGATATTATTATACATTTTACTCTTTTTTACTCTCGCTTTTAATTGGCTAAGAGCGCTCAGCCAATCCATGATCATCGTGTGAACTTGGCATGGTAGGTGTATTTAATATTTGTAGGTTTTTCTGCAGACAATACATTTATTATGTCAAGTTCACTCAAGGTTACAATTGAGTCAAAAGCTACCATTTTCCATTCCCATCCCCCCTCCCCCCCAGGTATATTAGATACAGCATGAATAAATTTTGTAGAAATGTTAGCCACTTTACCCAGTTCTAAATGCCTTTGAACTTGCTTGCCTTTCTGAATTCCTTTTTTGTATTTATTTTTCAGGAACCAATGCCATTCTCCGTCGCATTGACCTTGTTTGCAAAATCCTTGCCCCAGCCCTTGTGGGACAGATCATGACCTACGTGTCTAAAGCAGCAGGGGTCATCCTTATCGCTGTTTGGAATGTTGTCTCTGTGTTTTTTGAGTACTATATGTTGTTGAAGGTATTCCACGCCGTTCCTTCCTTGGCCGTGAAGAAGATAGACAAGACAAGACACGGGACAAACACAGAAGATACTCCGTCTAGTTCATTACAAAATGACCAAGAGAGACAACAGCAAGACAACTCGAGGGATCGTCTTGACTGGATGGAACAAGAAAACGCAGACAACGAAGAAGATAGAGAAACTCTTGTCCCGCGTACTCGTGTTGYTTCACGAAAACCCAAGAAACCAAGAATTTGGCAGCGTTTGAAGAACAAAGCACAGACTTTTAAAGTAGGGTGCCAGATTTACATGAGACAAAGCGTCGTGCTCCCTGGGTTAGCTCTAGCGGCTTTATACTTTACAGTCCTTTCCTTTGGCTCAATAACGACAGGTTACATCTACACCCAAAACATCACCGAGTCGCTCTTGAGTATACTTCGTGCTGTTGGTTCTGTGTTTGGAGTTCTTGCCACTTTTGTTTTTCCTAAGATGAGGAATTCTTTGGGACTGGTTCGCTCGGGTCTGTTCTCCATGTCAGCTCAGTTTTGTTGCATGTTATTGTGTCTAGCTGCAATTTTTGCTCCAGGATCTCCGTTCTTCCTGCTTCCAGATAGTTGGCGCTTCTACGGCAGCACTGAAACCATTCATGCTTTTCACAACATCACAGGAGGAAACTGCTCTGTTCTATCTCCTTCGCCTCTCACGTTTTCTTTCCAGTCCGTGGTAAAAATGTATGGAAACCAAATAGCTGAAAGGAATGACACGAATTTTAACGTCTCTTCATCGTCTGTTCTTCCAAGCTCACCTTTATTAACTACTTCAAGTTCGTATTCGTCAAATTTTCCACACGTTTCTTTAATCTTACCTTCACCTCCAGTCACTCTTACATCTACATCTTTTACATCTCAAACCAGTATCACAAGTACGACCAGCCTTGCTATAATGACATCCAAAATGACTGCATTTTCACAATCCACCAACATTTTACCTTCGCCTACTCAGTCGTTTTCCGCGAGTCCATCTCAATCCAAAACAAAGTTGAACTGCACCCAAGAAACAATCAAGAAGAAAAAGACTGTACATAATTTTTCGTACGTGTCTGTAGGGCTTTTAGTGGCTGGCATTATCATTTCCAGGTTTGGCCTTTGGTTGTCAGATTTATCGATCTCCCAACTACAACAAGAAAACGTGCCCGAAGAGGAACGAGGCATCGTTGGTGCCATGCAAAAATCATTCAACTCAATGCTCGACATGTCCATGTTTATTTGTGTCATTTCTTTACCAAAGCCAGAACAGTTTGGTATTATAGCAATCATGTCGGTCGCAGCAGTTGGCGTTGGAGGGATTCTCTACGCGACTTTTGCGTATAAAACCCGCGGTCATCTTTTTCACTTTGAGAGAGTCAAACGATTGTTTGCAAGGACTTCATCTGGAAGCCACACCGCTCCGTCACACCGTGCCTCTTCTCAGGATAGCCTCGATCATGAAGAAGAAGAAGACACCATGATTAGAGGAGTTTTAAGTACGAGAAATGAAAACTTCAGGCCGTAACTGTACTGCGTTATATTGTTCTAACATCTTTATTGCATGCGGACGTTTTTTAGTTTGTCAATATTTGATAACGCAAARTCCGTTTTAGACGGATGCTGTTAAATAATAATAATTATCTTTGTATGAATTGGAAGCATTAGATTGCCAAAGAATGCCTTTGCACATTGCAAATATCCACACATCCCATCCATTCGCATGGACACAGAATGCAAATTTGTATTCTTGGTTAACTCTTACATTACACTCTTTATGCTTCAAAAGGCATAGAATAATCGAAATATGACTGTATTTTTAAGAAAAGATGTTAGACCACTTTAGGTTGTAAAGAAATCTTAGGTGTGGTTACATTTTGGATTGAACCAGTTTTAGAGAGAAAGAGGTAATAGTTTTCAAAGGTCAGCTAAGATTTCTTTACTTTATTTCTCATTTTGACGATTTTATACATTTATTTCAATTAAAGTTAGTCACCTGAAAAGCTACAAAGCTGAGACCGACAAGGATTATGGGTAGATACATTTTACATGTTTCAGCCGCTTGATAACTGTGTCAAGACGTGAATCTTGGGAACGGCAACTTGACTCAAAATTGAATAATAATTCTTTTTAATCTATAATTTCAATGATCTTATTGATCTTATCAACTCAAATAGTCGCTACTTCTCTGCTGTTTTGTTCCTTCGATGCTCTAGTCTTCACCTCTCAAGTCAAGTGCTTTCTTCTCTCTCTTAATTTGACTTACTTATATTTATAGTATAGACTATCCTTTCATTTGGTGATGTAACGTTTTCACCAATGCTTTGTCTTATAGTTGATCCCTCTTACGTAACTTCGTTTTAATCATAATCCCATGGCTATTCTCTATTGAATATATTAACTTCTTTACAAACTGTTGATGGACTAGAGATCTTCTACCAGTTACGAGTTAACCTCCTCTGAGTATCCTCAACTTTGCTGCACTTTGTGTCAAAAGCTTTACTTGTTGGATATGAAACATTTCCCCATGATTCTCAGCGATCACAGCTTTCTAGGTTTTTGGTGACTAACTTTATTGAAATAAGTGTATATTGATTTCTTATAATATGACGTCATAGAAACCTAGCTTGGGCTACCTGTGATTTTTGCTCAGTTCTGGACCAGAGTGATTCTTTTTAAAAAAGGTTAAATTTCGAAATATAACAAAAGTGCATTATAACCATTTTGGAATTGGTAATAGAGTCATTTTTGTTGTGTGTTGTAGTCTGGTAATAAAATAATTACAAACCTCTAATAAAGTGCGTCGACTTAAATTAAGGATTAAACACCGAAAAATTAACTAGAAACAATCGTATAATGAACTCTTGCCACTACGCCACTTGTGATTAGGGGAGAGGCAGGGGAGAATGAAGCGCCGCTACGCAGGATAATCAAAGCAAAAATCTCCTGCGCTACCTTTCCACAATTCCGTATTTTAAAGTGCTTATAAGCCTTTGCACAATATTCTCAGAATTGATTCTTTAGATAGTGGATAGTTGATTKTGAAAATATTTCGTCATTTGAATGTCTTTAAGATACGAAGGTTTATATTCCCAATATGTTTATGATTATGACGTAACATAAGGGATCATTTAATATACAACACTGCACTTGTTCTGGAATACAGTATTTTAAAAGGATCACCCTTTTACCCGTGAACTCACCTAAAGGTTCTTACAAATTTGCTTTCAAAAAATGTCTAGCGTTCAACATTAAAAGTTGCCACAAAATAACTTRAATCCCTTATGTTACGTCATAGTCATTAACATATTGGAAATATAATCCTTCGTATCTCAAAGACCCGACATTCAAATGATGAATTATTTTCACAAGCAACTATTCACTATTTAAAGAATCAATTCTGAAAATATTGTGAAAAGGCTTATAAGCACTTTAATAGTTTCCACACGCTTGCAGAAGGAAACGTGAAATCCGTAAGACGATGGCAGCAAGCACAAAATTTAACACATTTGCCCAAAATGTACTTCCAGATCAGTCATCTCCGGTCACACAGAACTCAATCAACCCCTAGGATGTCATGTTCGCATAGTCATAGTCATTGCATCAACCTGCAGTGAGCAATGCCATAAACATCAACGCGGGTTCCCAGTGGCAGAGGTAAACTGAGTAATGTGCGCGACGATGAATCTTAAAGTCAGCGGAGTCTCAAAACAAAACTTGTTTCGTAGAAAGAGTCACTAACAGGAAAAAATTTTTCTTTAATGGAATAATTCCGTTTATCCTGCTCAATTATGGCGTTATTTCTCACTTAAATCGATCCATTCTGATAAAATACTTATTGGACTTACAGGAGACAATCAAGACAGATGTTAGTCGATAGTTCTGGTCAAAATACTTGGTTTTTATGAAGCTATTTATGGCGATGGCGAAGAGTTAATTTTTTGTCTACGAGTGCGTTTATTTCTAACCCAAACAAACCTGAAAAACTTCACAAAACAAGGAAAAAGATCATCGCAATGGCGTCATTTGAAGAATATTCATCACAAAGTAAGACCAGTTATTCTGTTTCTTCTTTGTTTTGGTTTGTGTTATTGCTATAAATAAATACATTAAGTCTTATTCTTTCTTGGTTTTGTGGTTTGTGTTAGCTAGTGAATTGAAATAAATTTTCCATCCACAACATTCAGCGTGTTTAWTTTTTATTTAACTTTATATAAGAGCATGATTGAGTGTCCTTCATTATAATTAATCTCGACATATATTTTTCTAGTTTGAATTTGTTTATTACGATTACATGTTTCTTTTTATGTCATTTTCGACGAAGTATTGTTGATTTTCAATGCATTTTCATGATAAGGGTGAGCTATAGATAGTGAATAAAATTACTGTAATTTATTTGTGTTTTTATTGTTTCAGAGTCAAAACAAGATGTCATTTCAAGCCTACCCAAACATCCCATTAAGAGATTTGAACCTGCTTTGGACAAGTTTATCAATATTGCTTTACCAACAGACTTAACAAGATTGCACAGGCACCAATTAAACATGGAAAAGGTATACATGAAAACCACATTGTGTAGTTTCAAAATTATCCATTCCCCATATCACATATCCCCCACCCCCCC